GCCCAGAAACAATATAGTAGTCATTCAGACAATCCATTTAGGAGCAAGAACTATTGGTCTCTGCAGCGGTCCTGTATACTAAAGACAAAAGAACAGCACAAACTGTAATTTTCCAATCGACATCCGCATGTCAATGATTATTCTGCTTTATTCGATCAGTTCCAGTGGTGGGTTGCTACTGGTTTGCCCCGGATTGGACAAACTGGTAGCGGCGACGGCAGGAGGCTACGCCCACCCGCCCAGACGTCTCTGCGCATGCACGGAAACATCATGCGAGTGCGCAAGCGTGCAGGCGCCCATGAGCAAACCGGTAGTGGCAGGATTTGAAACCCACTACTAGTCAATTCTGCTTGGCAGTAGACTACAATGAAAGATTTTGCCCTTTTTCAAAATTTTGGTCAGGAGATCTTATCATGTCAGGTATGTGTCCTCTTTGCCATTGGATTTTTTTTTAATGTCTGAAAGCAGCTGCAAATTATTTCTGGTGAGCTAATTAAAATGCACAAGTGGTTCATTCCTGAATATTTGAAAAAAGGCCACCGCTGGGCATCTCATATACATGCATGCACACATCTTCCTCCAAATGAAACTCCAACTTCGTTAATGTTTTGCCTGAATGATTTTGGCATGCAACTTTTTTTTAAAAAGCTGCATAAGAACAAGAAAGTTAACAAGTCACAGCCTAGATGTGATAAGGGGAAACGTGTAGGCTTTTGGCACCTAAAGATGAATCCCCAAATTGTCCCTGCGGTTCCTAAAGTAAAGAATTACCCTTGAGTGATTTGAAGCTTAATTGCCTTGGAAATATGAATTCCAGAGATAGTCTTTCATATGTGACAACTTTCATTTCGTTTCTCTTTACTAAAGTCATAGCAACCAACAACTTGCTTTCCCAGCAAATCCAAGGATGGGATTAAATTTAAACCTCAGAGAGACCAGAGATGAGCACCTTTTCAAGGCAAAGGGTTGCAATTAATATTCATGCTGGAACCTCTAATTAGATATAGATGGAGTCACAACACATCTCAGGACAGCGTTCTGCTTCAAACTTGCAGAACTAGAAAACTAGACTTTCCAAATCTCAACATCTTCATCTAAGAATGGTTTATAGAGAGTCTCAGTCATCCAAGTTCATAGTTGTCCCAAAGATGCTTTTTCAGGAGGCAACTGGACTTTTTTGGTGTTGGTGTTTTTTTTTTTGAAGATGTTTCACTTCTCATCCAAGAAGCTTCTTCAGCTCTGACTGGATGTTGGGGAATGAAAGGATTTATATTCCTTGCAGAGCTGGCCATTTGCATCCTTTTAGAAGGTCATTGAAGCACTTGGAGGTTTATCTGCTACTTAGGTGACCCTGAGAATACAGATAAACCTCCAAGTGCTTCAATGACCCTCTAAAAGGATGCAAATGACCAGCTGTCTGCAAGGAATAAAAATTCTTCCATTCCCCACTATCCTGTCAGAGCTGAAGAAGCTTCTTGGATGAGAAGTGAAACCTCTTCAAAAGAAAAAAGAAACAAGGAAGTCCAGTTGCCTCCTGAAAAAGCACTTTTGGGATTAAGAATGGTTTACTCACAGGGACATTCTCATATGTGACATGACTAGTATAGAGATCTTATGGCAGACAAGGAGCAAGGCAAATAGAACAGAAGATCTGCCTATTACAATATAAAATAATCAGAGCCTGTCTATGTGTGTGGGTTCCAGGATTTAAATTCTAGGCTTCTTCCTCCTGCTTTCCCAGGAGGAAGGCAGGAGGATATTTGCCCATGTTCTTTAAAGTCACATAAAATAGCTAGGATTGGTTGACATGAAAGTTATTATTTGTTTGGGAGTGGCTGCCCCTGTTACAGTTGTTTCATACCTTGTTCCAAGCTAGGAATGTACACACACTGAGGAGTACTTACAAGGAGCTTTACTTAGAAATAAATATATACTGGCAGCAGGAGGCAGCAGGATTGTGCAAGTAACACACATAAAACACCAACATCCCAGTCCCTGGAGGGCTTGCCTCCAAAAGGTTCCAAACAAATGGAGTCCAAAGTAAGCTTGGAAATATATAGTCAGGACTTGGTCCAGAAGTCCAAGAGACCAAACAGGGATCATTAGCCAGCCCAGTCCAGGTTCCAAGGCAACATGTTCAAAAAACAAATGTATGGAATTCCAGCAAGGAGAACAGTTGTTCCTGATGGAGAACAGTTTGGCAGTGACAGTTCTTAAATGGGGCCCAAGTACAAGCAATCAGGATCAGAATACCCTTGTCATGAATGAAGCCTCACAGGTCTCCTCTATTCTGATCTGCAATCAGCTGTAAGTGTTACAAGGTGGGAAAGAGTCCTAGCACCAGCGACTTCGGCTGGGGAATTCTAAGATATGAAGCCACCCACCTTAAAGTTGCCAAAGTTGGGAAACTCTGGGGTGAATAATCAAGGAGATGAGCTTGCAGGAAATAGATATATCAGAGATGGGTTTCAGCAGGTTCTGACCAGTTCTGGAGAACCGGTTGTGAAAATTTTGAGTAGTTTGGAGAACCGGTAGTAAAAATTCTGCCTGGCCCCGCCCCCATCTATTCTCTGCCTCCCAAGTCCCAGCTGATCGGGAGGAAAAATTGAGATTTTACAGTATCCTTCCTCTGGAGTGGGGAAGGAATGGGGATTTTGCAGTCTCCTTCCTCTGGAGTGGGGAGGGAATGGGGATTTTGCAGTCTCCTTCTCCTGGATTGGGGAGGGAATGGGGATTTTACAGTATCCTTCCTCTGGAATGGGGAGGGAATGGGGATTTTGCAGTAACCTTCCCCTGGATTGGGGAGGGAATGGAGATTTTACAGTATCCTTCCTCTGGAGTGGGGAGGGAATGGAGATTTTACAGTATCCTTCCCCCAGGAGTGGGGAGGGAATGGAGATTTCACAGTATCCTTCCCCTGCCATGCCCACCAAGCCATGCCCACCATGCCCACCAAGTCACGCCCACAGAACTGGTAGTAAAAAATTTTGAAAACCATCACTGAGATACATACCATATTTTTCAGAGTATAAGACAATTTTTTCCCCTCCTAAAAGAGGCTGAAAACTAAGCTGCATCTTATACTCTGGTGCATCTTATACTCTGAAAAATACAGTAAGCAAAATGGGCAGAATCATTTCTTAAATCCTGGGAAATCTGATAATGCAGACTCAGGTTCATCCCTGATTCACTGAGATATAAGAGGATGGGACATGAAGCACAGCCAGGCTTGCAAGATTCGATTATTGTAGCTTCTCTCCACAAAGTCTGAATATTCTTATTTTGGAATTTGATTCCTGATCTGGTCTATCCTGTCAACTTCAGATGTTGCTTGTCCATGTCAGTCTCAAGTGCCTGATTGCTAGGGCCCTTCTCAAGATAGTAGTCATCCAGGACATCCTGAGCAGCTTCTTCCATTTCAGATTTTTTTGAGTCTAGACCAACCCTCACACTTCATTCCTAACAGACAATGTTTTTAGTTCTGATGTATCCATTTTAGGGTTTTCAGGGGGTTTTTGCTTCCCATCTCAAAATGCAATTTATTTATTTCATTGAAATTCAAACTTTCTATGTATAGGAGCTCAGTGCACAAAGGGCTTCTTCCTCTTATTTTTCTCCCAAAAAATATTCTATGAGGTAGGTTGGGCTGAGACTGTATGACTGGCTAAAGGTTGGCTTCTGCAGGTATAAGTGGACTAAAACCTTGGTCTCCCTGATGCCAGCCCCATACCTTAACTACCATATCTCACCAAAAGAAGCTCCAGAGTCACAAAAAGGATTATCTGGAACACCTGCAGGTCCAGGCCTCAGGTGAGGCATCCCCAAGTAGTAAAAGATTCTGACAACAGGATGACACTGATTTTGCCTTAATGGCCATTGATAAGATACATGTTAGGCTTGATATCTATGGATATTCTCAATCATCTTGGTCATAGTTGTCCCAAAGGTGCTTTTTTAAAAGATCAGCTGGACTTCCTTGATTTTTTTCTTTGAAAACATTTCACTTCTCATCCAAGAAGCTTCTTCAGAAGTATCTCCTCAATGGCCATCAAGGCAAAATTGGAGTTACGCTGTTGTCAGAATCTTTTTGTGTGTGGGGATGTCCCACCTGAGGCCTGCCTTTTGGAAAAAGTACCTTTGGATTAAGTTTGGTAGCTGAAAAAACTTCCAGGAAGCAACACGAAGCCATCTCCATATTGTTATCAAGAAAAGTATATGGCCATTTCCATGAAGTACTTATGAGTGGACCTCAGCTTGAAGGAGACTTTAACTTTCTAATGTCTAAAGTCTACTGAAAAGCCCAAGAGATCCTCCAGAATTAGCTCTCACAATATAATTTTTAATTAGACAGAAAGGGAAAGTTATTAAATGCAGAGGGAATAGGCATATTAACTCTAATTAATTTAATTCTAATTAAGCATACATGTAAATTAAATCAATGTCAGATTTTGCCTTCTCCACCCCGCCTACTTCTTTGTCTTAGTTCCCCCCTTTTGGAGTGCATCCAACGAGAAGCTAAAATGATAGTGTCCTTCAAACGCCAGCTGTATGTCCAACGCAAACAAGAAAGCTTTCTCTATGGGAATCTACTATTTTCATCACTAACAAGATCATCATAGCCTCAAAACAAGCCTTGGTTATTTAAAAAGTCAGCATTGATATATTTGAGTTGTTCTTGGCAGACCATAGCTTTTGCAGCATTTGGCTTCCTCGATTATAGGCATGAAAATTAATGATCTGTCGGCAGACATGCCCAAGTTCTAATGAAGCCCTTGTCAGGTGCGAGCGTAGTCAGGTGTGAGAAACTGCCTTCCCTCCATCCATACTTAAAGCTCACTCCTTTTTTTCTCTCTCCTTGCACAAATTTAATTAAGTGCGAATGAAAATTTAATTACTGCTACAGACCAATTGTGCATTTGTGATCAAATAAAGGAGCTTTTGTAAAGTTTATAGCCTCCTGCTATACAGGAAAGAGGGATAAATGTTAGGCAAGCCAAGGCAGGAATTCAAATACAATTTTAATTATTTTTGCTTTTGTCTGACAAGATTTGTGTGCATTTTTCAGCTTCTTACTTTTAAAAAAAACTTATATTCAAGGGATGAGAAGACAGTAGCAGGCGAATAGGCCAGATGCATTAAAGAACTCAAGCATCCTTTACAATCTTTAAAAAAAAAAAACCCTCAGCTATCTCACTCAGAACAAAGTCTCTGCCAAGCTTTAAAAATTAACTAGTAAAATGAATAGCAAAAATATAGGCTTTGCTCTTTTCCTCCTTCTTCTCGTTTTCTCTGCCTTCATCAGTAGGCAAAGTTCCTGCAAAGAAAGGAAACACGGTAATCAACATTTCTGTTTTGATCTGAAAATATGCTGTTTCAAAAACCCTTATACATACATTCATCTTTTCATTTCTTTTCTACTTGAAAATTATGATAAATTAATACTTAAAATGCCTCCTATATGAGAATATAAAACTGAACTTTTTTGTGATGAACTGAATTATGGAATTTTTAAAAAAAACACTTCAAAGAAAGCAAGCAATGCCAACTTCTGGGTGAGGAAAATGGCAAACTAAACATCTCTGAAAGAGAAGGGACCAGGGGTGAAATCCAGAAGGTTCTGACAGGTTCTGGAGAACCGGTAGCAGAAATTTTGAGTAGTTCGGAGAACTGCATATACCACCTCTGGCTAGCCCCAGAGTGGGGTGGGAATGGAGGTTTTGCAATATCCTTCCCCTGGAGTGGAGTGGGAATGGAGATTTTGCAGTATCCTTCCCCTGCTATGCCCACCAAGCCATGCCACGAAGCCACGTCCACCAAGCCACGCCCACAGAACTGGTAGTAAAAAAAATTGGATTTCACCACTGGAAGTGACAGATCAGTGGCAAGCTCAATGCCCAGCAAAACTCTTCTAGACAAGGAGAAGACAAAATGATTGCCGGCTTGTACTTCAGTCACTGTTCCTTGTGAGGAGACTGTGGGACAGTATTTACCTTGAAGATTTGGAAGTTGTGATGGTGCTAGAAAAATAATTTTATGGCCCATTTATGGACTTTCATGGCACATTTAGGACTTTCATGGCACCCCACAATCCCGTGATCACCATTACAATCCTCTGTTTTCTAATATTTTTAATAAAATACTGATACTTTTTCTTCCTGCAGTCATGGAGCAAACTTTTATTTCTTCCAGTTCTTTCCTATTGTATGTTTGTCCCACCCCCACCCCCAAAATCTACTATTATCTGAAATAATTTTATCAGAAATAATTTTCTGTCACACACACTCAGAACTTCCCTCCCCCCCTCCCGTGTATCCTTCATTAATTCTTTCAGTCATCCAAGATAAACAATCAAATCAATCATGCTTCTATATCAATTCATCTGCAATGTACAAACATTAATAGACTTCACTTTAATTCATATTTTCAAAATAAAACGTTTTTCTAAACAAAAACTCACTGTTCCTGTTGCTCATATTCCAGGAAGTAGGATCACATTTTTTTCAGGAAAGGCAAAGTTATTTAAAAAAATATTAAAATGGTGTTATTTTGCCTTTCTGATCATAATAATAAAATGCATAAAGGAAAACATGTGCCTGCTTTCCCATGCAGTTGTTTTATCTCTTAAGAGTTTTGTCTTCCTTCAACCACTGGTGCTAAACATCTTAAAACTAATTTGATTCAGCTGGGCAAGTACTATTAGATCATCTGTCAGAAGCTGACTCAAAAAGCTGAAGCTTTCAGTATTCCCATCCATCATTTTAAAAACAAAAGTACTTTTCCATTTTTTTAAGCTACAAATGATTCATTTAAAAGTACATTTGTCTTTAAAATGTTCCATTAACATTTTATTACACCATTACAAATCCACTGCTAATTATATGAAAGAAACTTATTAATACATCAATTGTTAACAAAATATCTACTTCCGTGCAGCTCTTTTAGGTAAGTGGAAAGAGAGAGAGTGTAGGATTAATAATACTTTGATATTGAATTAGGCGGGATTAAGCAAGGGCCACCTGTACAGCCCTTTTTTCCACCTCAAAATGATTTCACATGGGTTATTTAGTTTGATCCATAATTAATTTTGTTGGCTGTGTTCATACATTGCACTAATCCAAAAAAAAAAATGTCCTAGTTTGGTATATGAAACTTCATTTAGCAGATTATATAAACCCATTTAGTCTGGTTCATAAACTATGGTTTAAGATTTATATTCTATTGATTTCATGCTAACAAGTCCTTGCCAATTCTTAACAACCATATAGTTAGATTTTCTCCATTCTTTTCTCTTTCTTTCTTTCTTTCTTTCTTTCTTTCTTTCTTTCTTTCTTTCTCTTTCTTTCTTTCTTTCTTTCTTTCTCTCTCTCTCTCTCTCTCTCTCTCTCTCTCTCTCTCTCTCTCTCTCTCTCTCTCCATCTATATCTATCTACAATATAGCTATACATCCAGGGGTGGGTTCTACTTACCTTTACTACTGGTTTGCAACGGGATTGCGCCTTGCTTCTGCACATGCACAGATCACTGATGACGACATCCGGGGCAGTGGGCGGGGGCACCCGCCAATTTTACTACCAGTTCTTGTGAACCGGTCCGAACCAGGGGCAACCCACCAGTGTATACATCTTTCCCAGCATTAGAGCTGTCTCCAGACAGATAGGTCTTCACATAATGTGTCCAAAGTGAGATAATTTGAGCCTGTTATATGAATCGAGCTAATTTTGTTGAACCAGTCAACCATAGTTAAGCAAATCATGATCTAGTACAATATGTGGAGCCATGACCTGAGACTAGAAACCCTCAAATAAATAGAGATTATATTAGATCCTGTTTCTATCACATAGAGCTGCTGGTGACTACATGAGTGTATTCATATTGCCTTCTTGGGAACAAAACTGTGGGGTTAGCCATTGTCTTTCTTTCTTTTTTTCTTTCTTTTTATTTTTATTTAATTTGTATACCGCCCTTCTCCCAAAAGGGACTCAGGGCGGTGAACAGCCAAAATTAAAATACATACAATACAAAAGTTAAGATAATTAAAAGAGATTAAATCAATCGGCCTCCCAATTTAAAACCCCAAGTCTATAAAATTTTAAAATCCCATTAAAACCATTTAGGCTAGGCCGGCTTGCTGGAATAAATAAGTCTTCAGGGCCTTACAGAAGGTCCGGAGGTCCGGGATCAGTGGTGTTCCAGGAGGTAGCTCATTCCACAGGGCGGGTGCCCCCACAGAGAAGGCTCTCCCCCTGGGGGCTGCCAGCCGACATTGCTTGACCGATGGCACCCTGAGGAGGCCCTCTCTGTGAGAGCGTATTGGCCGGTGGGAAGTTATCGGTAGCAGCAGGCGGTCTCGTAAGTACCCTGGCCCTAAGCCATGGAGCGCTTTAAAGATGAGAACCAACACCTTAAAGCACACCCGGAAGACCACCAGGAGCCAGTGCAGCTCACACAGGAGAAGTGTTACATGGGAGCGCCACGTTAGCCATTGCCTTTCTTTCCCCAAAGTGGCAACATAATGTATATTCCTGGAATATCCTGATGTCTCTGGGATTTCCTGGATTTCCTATCTGAATGTCCCAAAGGTGCTTTTTCAAGAGGTGTTAAGTCCTCGCAAGCTGCAACCGGCAGAAGCTGCCTTTGTTACTGCCCTGCCCTGATTGGCTACGACGCGGCAGACTGGAAGCGGGAGAATCCGAGCCGCGCCATTGGTTGCTCTTCTGACAGCTTGATATTTAAGCAGCTGTCATAGGCAGAGTTGTTCCCTAAGTTGTTGTTTTGAGGTACCTGTGTGCCTTGTGAATTCGGTTAATAAAGAGTTATTGCTTAGCCTCGTCTCCACGCCTCGTTCTTCAAATAGAACATTGGCGACGAGGATGGGATCCTGAGGCGACGGCTACCTAACTCTATTCTTCAGTCGCCTGCCAACTTCGACCATGTCTACTTTCCTGCCGGTGTTTTCGCTGTTCGTGCCAGCGTCCGAGACATGGGACACGTATATGGAACGTTTTGAGTGTTTTTTACAGGCAAACGCACTGACGGATCTTTCCAGCGCTCGCAAGCGAGGTTACTTCCTCAGCTCATGTGGGAGCGAGATTTTTGGCACTGCCAGGGCATTAGCCGCCCCTCAGCAAGTCTTTGATGTGCCATGGGAGACCTTGCTGGACAGATTAAAAAATCATTTCTCCCCGGCTCCGTCCCGCATTGCGCGCCGTCATGCCTTTTGGCAGCGCACTCAAACTGAAGGTGAAACCGTAAATGACTATATGGCGTCCCTGCGGTCTGCAGCCATCCACTGTGACTTTCGCGATTTAGACAAAATGTTGTTGGATCAGTTAGTGTGCGGGATCAAGGACCTGAAGCTACAGCGGCGGCTGCTGGCTCGGTCTGAACTGACTCTCCAGGTAGCCCTGGACGAAGCGAGGGCTGCTGAAATGTCCGGTCGTTCAGCCGCAGAGATTCAGAGGTTCCAGTTGCCCCCATCGTCTGCCGCCAAGCCTTTGTCTGTTCATTACGAGGAGTCAGACCCAGTCGACTCCTCTGACGAAGAAGGGGCAGTGGGCCGCCTTAAGACAACCCGCCGAAGGCTTCGAACATCGGTCAAGCCCAAACAGCTGACACAAGGCAACTGCCTGGGTTGCGGCGGTGACCATCGCAGAGCTGACTGCCGTTTCAAATTGGTCATATGCCACCGCTGTGGAAAATGGGGTCACCTTTCGAGGGTCTGCAGAGCACCAAACCCCATGTCTGAAGCCCCGACCAACCCACTGATTGATCGCCGCCGGGCCCGGAAGACTGCTGTCCGCTGCGACGAGTGTTTTGCCATATCCCGCTATGAAGACCTGCTCGATGTTGCTGTGAGCCATGCCACTTCTTCCTCTCCCGCCAACAAACTTTACCTCACAATAGTCCTGGAAGGAGCAGCGTGTCGTATGGAGGTCGACACCGGCTCCTCCAAGTCCCTCATAGCATGGTCCACTCTCACTAAGTTGCTGCCGAGGGTGTCCCGCCGCCGGCTTAAGCCGTGCCCCGTCCTTTTAAAGGACTATCAAGGGAAGGCTATCCCCACCTTGGGGTATGATAATTTCAGAGTGTCCTATCAATCATTTACCGGCTCGCTGCCCTTGATCGTTGTGAGGGACAATTTGCCTAGCCTACTCGGGCTAGATTGGTTTGCTGCCCTGAACTTAACTATCTCGGGCGTGCATTCAACGTCCCTGGATGTGTCGTCCACCCTGGCTAGGGAGTTTGCTGATGTCTTCTCTGATCAGCTTGGCATGTACACAGGCCGTCCCATATCACTTAATCTGGACCCCCAAG